TATGTAATATGAAATACAAAATGTAATTAACCTGAGATCGTATTATAACATGTGTAACACGATCATCTGTGCGAACAGATAATACAAAGTCACCAGGTTTACTCTGGGATTCACGAACCAGAAAAGATCCATTTTTACCTCGCTCCAGCATTAAACGTTCTGCTTCTTTAGCTGATAAATGGCCATGGAACCACCTTTACCCATATTTTACTATTAACACATACCATGCTATATGCGTGCATTTGAAGTAACAATAACAAGAAAGTGTTCCAATGCATAACAAATTTTATTGTAATGCTTATTATGAAAATATTAAGTACATATTCTGTTTTAATTAAATAAATACCTTTCAGTTGTTGGATCTGCACAATTTAATGGATACTTTAGTTCAATAATTTCCCCATTTTTTTCACGCAATTGTCCTCCATTTTCCATATAAAATTGCACAAGTTCTGATAAGGTTGCAAACTTTTCACCACCATAAAGATCATAGAAGTCCCCTGTATTTTGTATTTTAATATGAGTCACTTCACCATTCCGTCTGAGAATAATATAAAGATATTAGATGTTGTATAATTATAATATAAACAAATCCAACACAACAATATAAACAGATGATCTGTGCAATATATTATGTACCTACCTAACAGATAATGTAAAATCACCAGGATTAGATGAACTTGGACGTGCCAAAAATGAACTATCATAACCTCGTTCCATTAATAAACGTTCTGCTTCTAAACCCGATATATTCGGATGAAACCATCTGCAACAAACATTTATGTGAAACATTCTAAGACTTTTGTTTTGACGTTTATCTTACAAATAGTTTATAAATAGTCATAGTAATAAAATACATATTTCATTAATGAATTAAAATACTTTAAACAAGAGAAAATATCAAAAATAAAATCAATATCACTAATAATATAATTACAACACTAACAATTTAATAGTATAAATATTCTCTACAAATTAAATACAATCTCATTTAATTAAATCTTTGTAATATATTTAATTTATATTTAATAATAATGTTATTAGATATTGTATATAAATAATTTAAACTTTCGTTTTATAATGTCAGACTATATAATACTAATAAATAACTAAAAATGCCTGTAACAGATGTACATTTAAAGCGAAATTACTATTTTATCCGTTTTTGGACATAAAAGATTTAACAGTATTAATTGATTTAAGTGCGCATACCCTACCTCTGAGTGTTTGACTAATCCACAACTAACACTGATAAATAAGTAGGCCTGTTCAGCGATCGTCCGTGAATTATGATAATTACATATTTTTTATGCAAGTATAAAAACGTGCCTCACCTGCGGGATGCCATGTCGTGATTCCAACTATGACCAACTGGTTATTAATAATTCATAACGCTTCATCGATGCTCACACTTATAATTCGCAATTGTAATTACTTTCAACTTAATGCTAACTATACATCCTCACAATCTTTGACATATTCACTTTGTGCACAAAAACAAAAAAAACTGAAAGCACTAAAAGATTCTGGCTTCGATCTTCAGTTTTTAGAGTGGACACTTATGGAGTAAACCAATCGACTAGTCTTAATGCCGGTTTCATAAAGTTGGTTATATTCTAAATAAGTAATTTCGTTCTTACTTATAATAAATATCTGTAAACTAGCTATTAAAACTTTGTTACTATAATTGCACGTTAAAAACTGAATCAATTGATAATTCCCTATAACGTAACAAATTTTTAAACTGATTTTTGATATTGTTACGTCCTGTGAAGAAAAAAAATGTAACTAGATGAGGGCCAACCACGGAGCATGAACACAAAGATCAGAAACTATTTTGGCCATGTGGCCCGTATGTCCGCGTCTGACGAGGTCTCTCTCTTGGCTTACACACCACGAATTTCGCGACGATTGTTCTCTTTCGTACGAAGCGAGCAAATATAGTAAAACTTTTACCCTCTGCTGTTTTCTTTAGGCACACGCCTAGAGGCTTAATTGGTAGGATACCAATTGCTGATAACGTACCGACTACACATGGAAGGTAAAGCCGCAGCGTCATCGATGAGAAAGACGGCAACGATGTGGTGAACTGTGTTTTTGATGTGAAAAACGCGACACGTGAGTTTATGCCTAATCGCGTGATCACATGTAGTTACCCAAAAGCGTACATGGTTGATCTTGCATAATGAAAAAACAAGTGAAGGATGATTAGTAAACAAGAGAATAACGTTTGAGCTTTACGTGCTTCCGGGGATTTACGCGCGTAGCGGCGCGCGCATGCACTATGTCGATCACTTTAATATGCAAATCACAATTTAACATTATACTAAGATTCTTATCTTATGTTACAATAGATACGAACTATAGTTAAATATAAAGTAAACTTATGATTATGGTTACATTTAGAATGTGTACTATGAATATAAATACGGGTGTATTAGGTGGTAGTGTATTAGTAGGTGGATTCACATAAGAATCGCAAAGTGTGAACCTCATAGCTGGTTCGCATGAGTCACAGAGCGTGACGTCACAATATGAAAATAATAGCAATATTTTTAAGTTTAAATACCAATATAACATAAGATTACCATTAATTATTTTACAAATATTTTATAAATATTATATAAATTTATAAAAATAAACTTCTTTACTACTATTATACGTATAAATTAAAAACATTGACAACATACATGTAGTTCACGTTACCTTTAATATTTCGTATGTTCAGTTTTTATCTAAGAATTACTACTTTTTTTTACATCATGTTAATAAATAATGTGTTATTTGATAAATAATTGTATTTTATGACAAGAATATGCACTTTTTATAGATGTATATAAAACTTATCTTATTTTAAACAATTGTAAACTATTCGAAAATAAAAATAAATTATTTCTTAATAAAAATTATATAAAAATAAACAATTTTTTATATAAAAATATATCTTTTGTTCATTATTAAAAGTTAAAAACTAATCTTATAATGTTACTGCAAAACATTTTGCTATTTTGAGACTGTAAAATACATCGTATGTCACTTCACTTACCTGTTTGGTTTTCTTACTTATGACAGATTGCGCTGTAATCAGTATTTATGTGATTAGCACAGTTGATTGGTGATAATACCGGGTATGAGAGATCTCTGTGATTTTTATATTTCGTAAAGTATATATTGAAGTTTCGTATAGTGGTTGATTAAAAATTACCAAATATTTATTTAACAAGGCTAGATAAATATTTTCCATGTGAAGATGGGTCAACACGTTTCGAGAACTGATTTTGAGTGGGTTTATACGGAAGAACCACATGCATCTCGACGTAAAATAATTTTAGGTATGACTTTAAAATGTGGTATATGTATCAAATTTTATACCTTTTTCAATTTTGCTTTGACATTATAATTTTTATTACTAGTCATTAACAAGATAGCATAAGTAAAATCAATGATATTAATTAATGTCAATGTTTAAAGATTTAAATGATATAAAAGTTTTATACAAATATACTTGAAGTATTTATGTTAAAAACTTTACACAATATATTTCATATTTTTGTTTATGAACTGCATTATAAAATGACACTTTCTTTTCAGAGAAATATCCACAAATAAAGAAATTATTTGGGTATGATCCAAATTTTAAATGGGTGGTAACAGGAATGGTTTTAACTCAGTTTATTTCCATGTTTTTTGTGAAAGATTTAAGTTACCCAGTGTTGTTTCTTTTAGCATATTGTTTTGGAGGTGTAATTAATCATTCTCTTATGTTAGGTATGTACAAAATATGTTTGAATAATTTTAAGTGTAAAATAATTCTTATAAAATTATGATAACATTGTATGAATGTCATGTTATTTTAAAGATAATGATTCATTAAGACTTATCTAGTAGATATATCACATTTTATATTGCTGATACAGTTTAATCATTGAGTTTTATCATTTTTACTTATTAACAGTTTGCATTTATGTAATTTTATTGTTCATATTATGTATTAAATTTAATTAAATATATTGGTGTTACACTTTTAGCAATACATGAAATAGCACATAATCTTGCTTTTGGGCATTCTAGACCCAGAGCTAATAGATTATTTGGATATTTTGCTAATTTACCTATAGGTATACCAGTATCAGTTAGCTTTAAAAAATATCACCTTATACATCACCGTGTAAGTACTAATAAAGAATAAAAAATGTATTAAAATAATATTTATAATTAATACAATGGATCAATATATTTTCACAAATAAATTACAGTATCAAGGTGATGAAAAATTAGATACAGATTTACCAACACTATTAGAAGCAAAATTATTTTGCACAACATTTGGAAAGCTTTGTTGGTTAGGTTTACAGCCTTTTTTTTATGCATTTAGACCTCTTGTTGTTTATCCAACTGCACCTACATTAATGGAGTATATAAATTTGATAATACAACTTACTTTTGATGGGTTGGTATGGTATTTCTTAGGTAAGTCTTTAGCAATAATAATAACATTATAATAATTACATATAACATATTAATATGTTATTATATGTAATTACTTTATAGGTGGGAAAGTCTTAGTTTATTTGCTTATTGGATCAGCAATGGCAATGGGTTTGCATCCTGTAGCTGGTCATTTTATATCAGAGCATTATATGTACAAAAAAGGTTTTGAAACATATAGTTATTATGGTCCATTAAATTGGATTACATTTAATGTTGGCTATCATAATGAACACCATGATTTTCCTGCTGTTCCTGGTTCAAGACTACCAGAGGCAAGTATAATCCATTTCAGAATATTAAATTATATTGTACTATTTTCATTTTCCTGTAGGTAAAAAGAATAGCCTCAGAATTTTATGACAACTTACCACAACACAACTCTTGGGTGTCTGTCTTGTATGATTTTGTGATGGACCCTGATATTGGTCCATATGCAAGAATAAAGCGAAAACATAGGGGATTAGATTCATAAATTATAAAAAATTTCGAATTTTTTTATGATAGGTTCCTTAATTATGAATTTTGTTTATGCATTGTAAATTATATGCATGTTTAACATAAAAAATACTATTATTAAATTATTGTATTCTATTCAGTATTTAAAAAAGAAACGCACATTTGTTCTATGCTACTGATAATATAATGTGCAAAGAATATTAAGTTAACATTTTATAGCTTTTTTGCGTTGTACTAAAACATAATTTTAGTAGGAATGTATTTTTAATCAGAATATTCATTAAATTATGTAATATTGGATATATTGGAATAATATTTAAGATGTAAGTGGAAGATGCTAAACTATGATATAATTTTCTATTCCCTAGTGTCTGTAAATAACGACTGTAATAAAATGTAATAAAGAAAACTGAATGTCTAGATGTAATGAGTGATTACAGAGATTGCTATGATATTTTTTTAAGTGAATGCACAAAAATGAAATTTCATAATTTTGTATTCTAGTCATAATGGAATGAACTCTGTATTATGAACAATAATGTTTTAAGTACATGGAAATGTGGTAAAAATGTACAAATGGAAAGATCCTATGTATACATTAACTGAAATATTGTCAAGTTTTGTTGAAAGATTATGTTGCAATAAATATTGAAATGATTATGCAAGTGCTACTTGTTTTGAATCCTCTACAATTATGTATTACTAATTTGATTAATTTTCGAGTGTCTGAAAACATTCCGATAAAACGAAAATTTGAAATTAAATACCGTTTTCTGTGTACCAACTTTATATACCTTAAGATTCCTGCTCTATACTAATGGCAGTTCATATTCATTTTTCTAATATTGTAAACTTCGTCTGCAATTAGACAACTAACATTTCTTATATCTTGATTATGCATGGTTGTTGTTGAGCTTTTAAATTGGCTGCTTAGGTATGCGTAACTCAATTTTTTAGAGTTTTATAGTAATAATGAAAAATAAGAAGATAGTATCGATATAATTTTGTAACTAATTTTTATTATAAAAATCTGTCAATGAAAATTGTCCACATCTTTTGCCGAGTTTCTGGAAACACCATAGCTTAATGAGAACTGATGAAATTACATTTTGCACGGACTTTATCTTGTTGAAATCATAAAGCATAGATTTGTTAACTAAATTGAAGCTATTTTAGTGTATCTACCTTAACTGGTGGTGGTATGGAAAGGACGGTTACAGTTAAGTGTCGTTTCTGTAAAAAAAAATAGTTTCTATTGTGTATAGTTCATAAATATCGACATTCGTAATGTCGATGACAAAAGGGAAGTAGTAAGAACAAGATAACATTCGGCTTCTTATTGTAAGATGGTTTCTTATAACGGAGAAACCTATGAGTTTGTGTATACGCTTCATGCAAGGTGTCTGCAATGGTGTATCGGTTTAATAATGGGAAAAGTAATGTTTACATGAATAATATAATCGTGCACACATGTATATTTGTAACACAGTGAATAGAATGGGAAAGCAAAACGGATCTTGTTGGTGGTTTATGAAAGCCATAAAATGGATACCAGTTATATTCATCTTGTTGATTGTCTCGTGGTCGTATTATGCTTATGTGGTGCAGTTATGTTTTTGTAAGTATTTTTATAGATTGTTCATTCGAATCACATGTTATAGTTACGTTTAATAATGAGAACTTTTTGTAAACAAAAATGATATTTAAATTAATATTTCAAAAGTTTTGTAACCTAATTATATGGGCTAATAGTGTTTTTTTAACTTTTTAGATACAGTAGATAATTATGTTCAAAAAGGTGTGTACAATTATTAGTACAATATTTTAAATCAAAAATAGTTTTATTAATAATTTACTTACCTTAATTTTTTTTTTTGTTAACAGCTTTTTATTTGTTTTTTTATCATGTCTTGTTTCTACTATTTTTATGGTCCTACTGGCAAACTGTATTTACAGACTTAATAGAAATACCAGACAAGGTAAAATTTAATTTACATAATAATTATTATAATGCACAGGTAGTATATAAAGTAATATGATATTTTGTATAGTTTAGAATACCAAATGTAGAAATGGAAAAATTTCAACAAGCTGAAACAGAAGAAGCACAGAGACAAATCTTAGAGAGATTTGCACAACATCTTCCACTTACAAATCGCACTATAAATGGAGGTATTTGTGAGAAATGTCAGTTAATCAAGCCAGATCGAACACACCATTGTGGTATGTGTAGTACATGTGTTTTAAAAATGGATCACCATTGTCCATGGGTGAATAATTGTGTAGGTTTTCACAATTATAAATTCTTCATATTGTTCCTGGGATATGCCCTTCTTTATTGTATATTTATCACTGCTACATCTTTACAATTCTTTATACGTTGTTGGAAAGTAAGTATGATTTTTTGGATAATAAATTAGCACAAAGTTGATATGTACTTCAACTATAAATAATTTTGTGCAATATTTTTTATTCTTAGAATAATATGATTATTTCCTTTATAGAGAGAATTGGATGGGCATGGAATGGGCAAATTTCATCTACTATTCTTATTCTTTGTCGCCTTAATGTTTGCAATTACTTTAAATTCCCTTTTCTTTTATCACTGCTACCTTGTTTTACATAATAGGTCTACTTTAGGTAATTAAAAGCATGATAGATAAGAAGTATTTAATATTTTATAGAGTATTAGTAATGATTTGCACTACATTTTATTAAATATTTGTAGAGGCATTTACACCACCTATGTTCCGCACAGGAAAGGATAAAGATGGTTTTAGTCTTGGAAAGTACAATAATTTCCAAGAAGTATTTGGTGATAATCCTAAACTATGGTTCCTTCCTGTTTTTACTAGGTAGGTTCAGAAATTTACAAGTTTTATTTTTTTACCCATTAATGATAAGATAATAATAATCTTAAGAGAAAACTGAGAACCATTTGCACAATATATGAACATAAAGAATTTAACATAACCAGTATGATTATATAGTAATTACAATTTATATGTATAGATTATGTAAGAGAGCATGTGTATGCTGATATACAAATATGTATATACATCATGTAAAATTGTAAATTGATAAATGTTAAAGTCATGCATTGCAGGAAATTAAATTTCTCCTTTAACTAACTGTAATCATATTTAGAGAATAGTATCTATTTAGAAATATTATGAAGATATTTCTACCTATAGCACTATCTGTTGTATCCTATGCTTTTTTATGTATGTATTTTAAATTAAGTAAACATACCAGTTATCATTCCAGAGATAAAATAAAAAAGTGAAGAAAATGGTAAAAATATATATGAATAATAAATTACATAAACTGCCTTAAAAATCAAAGTTATATACATGAATTTGCCATCGAATTTAGCATCAAGTATCAAAAAATATTTTTTTATAATTTTAATATCTATTTGCAATTTGTATTAAGCTTTCGCGCTATTTATGTCTTCAATATTTCAATCAATATTTATGGCTTTCATAAATAAGTATATAAATGCAATTGATAAAGTAATTGTACTATCGTTAAAACGCGATGGATGCGTTGAATGTGTTCTAGTCTTGGAAACGGTGTCACCTATCCGGTACGTGCGCAACATCAAGGCACACCCAATACTTACGACTCCATGGGCAGTACTCGAAACAGGTCAGCATTATAGAACCTATAGTGCCAATATAATGATAGCTACATATAAATCTTACTATGGAACTCCATGATATTGTTGATTAAAAGGCAGTTAATATTAAAATAAGTAACGTATTGTTACATTTAAAAAGTATTTAAATATCTTTCAAAATAAAAAGAAGAGAATCGTTTTCTTCATATTTTTTTTTCTTTATATTCATGCATTTATTTTACAGAGGATCACATTTTTTCATTTAAGAAATTATCATTTATCATTTATTTTATACAGAGTTCCAGAGTAACAAAGTTACATATATATTGCTTCATGAATGCATGCAACTATTTATTTTATTTGTGCTTTATTTAATTTTACCATAAAGATCAATTTATAAAGTTGACTGGACTATTACTAATACTAAATATAACAAAACACATGAAGTTATAACTTTGATGCTGTAGCTGTGTACCTAATTGCTTTTGTGAATTGTTCATTGATGATGTGATTGTGTTTTGTAAGTTGTTGTATAATTTCAAATGTATTCTTAAATAATTATGAATTCTAGTCAATGCAATATTAATTTCTTATAATACATTAAAGAATATAATTCCTATGGTATTTGCAAATATTATTATTTTTGTTCTAGATCTTACTTTTAAAGATATTGATTATATATTGTGTTAAAGTTGATAATATTTATATCACTTTTTACAATAAGATTAAATTTGTATCTTGTATTTAATCTACAGATAATCATTAATTGAGATGGACTTTAAAATAGGTATTAGTTTTATTTTAAATTCATGTTTAAAAATGCATGTTTTTTTTTTATAAATGCATCATATTGTGCATTGATAAAATTACATTTATCAATATAATTTTTTTATTATTGTAAAAGGTATTGTGCATCTGGTTCTTGCAGATTGATATTTATTTATTAGAAGTGGCGTAACTAGAAAAATAAAAAATTCTAAATCAGCAGTATTTTATAATCTATATGTACCTATCAGAGACAAGTAGTTACGCTACCTCTGAATATGAATGAGATTACATCGAGTAGAAGGTAGGGTGTGGGTTACAGTTTTGGCGATGGGGTAAACTTTCCTGAACGGCTGTGCAATGAAGACACACATACTCTGTTGGGTCATACAACCCAACAGTGGGGTGATGAGACCGAGCTTGACTCTCCACCTCCCTATGGGTCACAATCAGGTATTGTGTAGTCTGTGAATCCCTATGTTGAAGCAGTGCATTAGTCTATATGCATTGTCCAAATATGATACTTCTGGTACAAAACTCATGTTAGCCACAAGTGTTCATTGTGTTACATGGAAAAGAAAAAAAACATGTTACTCAATCATCTGAATTAGTTTACATGTTAATATCAATTCATAGTTTTAATCACTCTTCTTTCTTTTGCAAGTAAGATACCATCATTGCCTCATTGAAGGAAAGGTAGAGCATTGATTTTAGCATATTTTAAATGTTACACATAGGGATTAATTCATGAAATTAGTTATATTTAATGTAAACTCTTTATTTTTAAATGATAATTGGCTCATAAAATTACAAAACACTTAAGAAATAAAATCTTCCATCTTTTTTTTTTATCAGTATAAAAATATCAATTAATAAAGAGTTTACCATGAACTTTTACTTTATGTAAGCTTAATATATATTGTGTAACTGTATATAAATTTTCTAAAGAAAATTTAATTGATAGTTTAATGTAATAATCGAAGTATGACTAAATGCTTAAAAATAAAAGAGTATGTAGTAATCAGTGCACATTTTTTATAATGATTAGTACAAATATACAATTTGTACAATAATTAAAATGATTAGACAATTATGCCTAAAGAAATACACAAAGATTATATGAATTGTACATTAATTTTACATTATTATATTCCTTGTTTATGCATTTATTGATATATAATATACATATAAAATACCCCTTATTAAATATATATGTATATATATAAAATTTCATTGTCTATTACTAAAAAAAGCTGTAACAAAAAGAGAAAAATAAATTGGTAAAGTTAAACCATTTAATGTATTTATACTACATGAAAAACTTTTTATACAATTAATTCTTAACATATCTTCAATTTTTGTTCCATTGAAGTTGATTATTATGCATGAGTGTAGTATTATTTTTGCAGGTGTGCATGTCCCATTACATAAATAAATTAATAACTTAGTTTCAATACAAAATAATATATAGAATTACATGCAAAGTGTTAATATAATTAAAATGTTTTTA